TATATATATATATATATATATATATATATTTATATATATTTTTACTTATTTATTTAATTCACTTATTTATTTATTTAACTCATTTTCTTGTCGTATTTGACTTGTTAAATTTCTTATTTGTGGTAATTATATCGGCTTACACAACTCATAACAACAACTGTGTTAAGATTTCCTCAGTGTTGTTATGATTCATAGAAATGGGAATTCTTTGAAACTTCATCCTAGAGATGGAATGGTTAAACAGTTTCCTAAACGAATACTATGCAGTAAAGGAATTATTTTCCTTCGCTGCTCATCAAATTCAACCTAATTTGGGTTTTTTATTCTTTGATTACTCATAATTCGGAGAAAGGAAGAAAAAACTAATTTGGTGGAGCATATTTTTCTATTCTTTTATCGAGAAATCAGAATATCCAGGGTACTTTCTCCATGAATTCGTATAGTACCACTCCTATAAGTCCAGCAAATAGGATTCGTTCAAGTGGCAATCACTATTGTAGGTATATTCTTGAATAACTGTTTTATATTTTCCGGTGTTTATGTTCTTGATAATCGGTTTACAATTTTATTTCCTGTTCCTTTCAAATAAAGGATCCGTTTTTCGATTTTAATACAAGTCTTTAGATGGATGATATGAAGACAGTATTGCTTACTTCACAAATCCAGTTATACAAAATATTCCTTACACAATACAGCTACACATCTGGTGGAAAGGAGAGAGTGAGAATTGTATTTAGATCAGATCAAGGTGAAATTTGATATGGGAAGGATTACTACAAAGTTAGCCTTGCGACGAAGTCGACTTACATGAGTTTGAAGTTTTTGGAATCAAGGGATCAGCGATCAATGAATCTAATGGGTCAGACATTCTCGTTAATTTTTTGTACATTTATTTGTCATTCATATGTTGTTTGATCTTAGTTCGTGTGTTAATCATTTTTCCGGCTTAGGCTTAGAAACAATCTTTTTATCTTCATATAGCATTTATCATTATCACATTAAATACCCATTATTCTATGAATTTTTTATTTAAATGTTTTGTGTAGTTTTTTTTTTTTTAAGTCAAATATATTCTTTGAGCATATTCCTTTTATTAATTACAAATATTCAATTAATCGATAAAATAATTGTATCAGTTATGGCATTTATTAACTTTCAAACTAAATTTAATGACAATTTTGGTGAAGAGTTATAATGGAATATTTGAATTGATTGATCTTATTGATAGTTTCAGTTTGATTGTGTGGCGGTTCATTTGTCGTTATAAACCATCTGTTGGAGACGACAATACAGATAGAATACAGTTAACGACAAAGTAAAAATATCATCCGTTTAATTTATTCCATTCATGATTTTTATCCATGGAAAATTTCAAAAATGATAATTATTATTAAAATACTTTTAAATAAAAGCATATTTAATGGATTCATTCCAGTAGAAGATTCATGATCAATATTGATTTATTGATTATAGTAAAAAATTCATTTCAGTGGGCAAAAAGAGAACAATAAGACGACGGTCGACTAGTCGCAGCACTAGAAAGGGTATTAAGTTATATTCACTTTCTAATCTTATCACTCCGATGATAACTTTTTTTATTGATAATTAAATAAAATAAAGGGTGTAATTAAATAAGAATATTATCTATTCCAAAAAATTTTGAATTCAAAGTTACACCAAAAGTTAGCATACTTAAAAGGTACGAAAATATCCAATCGTTTATCATATTTTGATTCGAAGGATTGGTACCTTGCGAAAATATCCCTTATCATTCCTAATAATTATTATTTAAAGTTTTGAAAATCAAAGACTTTCTATTTCAACAATTTTTTTTCGAATTCTTGAAATCAATAAAATTCCAAAAAATTTTGAATTCAAAGTTACACCAAAAGTTAGTATACTTAAAAGGTACGAAAATATCTATTCAATCATTTATCACATTTTGATTCGAAGGAATAAATGTTGAATTGAAAATAGATTTTACTGTCATAAATAGAACTCGCTGATGAGGATGGAACACAAATGGAGCGCGATTCTCGGCCAGGCCGTCGCCGGCTTGCTACCCTTCGAAAGGGACCGGAAAATCGAGATATGATAGTTCAAATGAAAGCTTTTTGCACAACTACTATTGCTACTGGAGTTCAGGCAAATATTAACTTCTATTCTTCCCTTTCTCCTTCCCTTCTCTCTTCTCTCTCTCTCTCTCTCTCTCTCTCCTTTTTCAACTATTAATTCTAACTTTAACTTTTTTTTTCTGTAAATAAAAAAAAGTAATAGTTTTTCGGACAATGAATAACTTTTACAAATGTTTAAATTTCAAATAATTATTTTGTTCTTTGCTCTCTTCAATGTTTAAGCTAATGTTTGTTTATAAGCTTTTTGAAAGCGTTGTGTTCACGTATGCTTCCGAAATGTAAATGACGTTGCATATCAACGTGGTAAACTTACAAAGCTGAAAAGATTGTTGAAAATAAATGATAATTGTTTATCATATTATTGCTTATTTTGAAGGAAAAAAAAGGAAAGAAAAATAAACAATTTATCACTCAATTTTGTGAAATTTTTAATTAGTGATTTTTTATTAATTAAGCAATTAAGCACCAAATAAATATGATTTCACGCCTTTGTATTACTTACTAATTAGTAAATTAAATATGATTTAAACAATCTATAGGCATATTATACGCTGGATAATTATTCTTATAAGTTTATATATTTTATTAATTTCATGCAAATACTCAAATTCCGTAATAATATTCATAGGGTTTGATGAAAGAATTTAATGAAATACGAGCAAGCAGTATACCACCATCACAATTGGTTAAAACTGCATTTGACAAAAATCCGGATAAAAACAGATACAGAGGTTAATTAGATAGTCCAGTTAATTAATTAATTTAGTTTCAATTTTATTCGTTTAGCTTCTTTTTTTGCTTAATTTAGTAAGTTTATAATGATCTGACTTTAGAATCGACTTCGTATGTTATGATTACTGATTATCTTTACAGATTAATATAGATGATAAGTTCTTTTAAAACTGAGATTGACGGTTTTCTTTTGTTCAGTTAACCGGATATTTTTTTAGATGTATTCTGTGTTGATGGGACAAGAGTTGTGTTAAATTACCCACCACAAACAAACGATTATATCCATGCAAATTGGGTTGATGTAGTTTCTATCAAACAACGATTTATCTGTACTCAGGTTTATCACTTTAATCTTATTTCGAAATATTTCCTTCTGTCGCTTTTTTTTTCTCCTCCCAGTTTTTCAAAAATTTTCTTTTTACTTATTTTATTTTCAATGTATTTTAATAATTTTTGAGAAATTTCAGTAGTTATAAGATAATATATAGTTACTGTGCAATGGAATGATACCCAATTTTAAAATTATATTTTAGATATTTTAAAATCAAAAAAGCTAATTGTTCATAATTAATATTGGATCTTAAAGGATGATCTTAAATTCTAGCAAAATAACGATTACTTGTCCTAGATTCCAAAACATTACTTTGAATTCCAGTAATGATTACTAGTCTTATATTCTAGGCTAGGCCATTTATTAATGATAACCATATCCCATTCAACGATGCAACCAATATTTAAGGCACCAAAAGAGAATACAATAGAAGATTTCTGGCGTATGGTATGGCAGGAAAGTTGTCGTTCAATAATTATGCTCTGTAATATCATGGAATGTGGCAAAAAGAAATGTGAACAGTACTGGCCAGCTGAAGAAGGCCAAACTGTAATTTCGAAACTCATTAGTCAATCAATTAATTAGTCATTAATTATTGATTTTTGTCTGGAAAATATAAAACTAGCTTTTCTTTTATTACTAATTAATATTTTTGTTCTATTGCAGAAAGAATATGGAACATTAAAGGTAACATGCAACCGAATAATTCAAGAAGAAAAAATGCTAACAATTAGCAATTTGGTTGTAACCAATGGAAGCAAAAAATTGACATTGGAACATATTGCTTGGAATGATTGGCCTGATCGTGGTGTGCCCAATAATTTCTTGGCACCATTTCGACTTTTACAACGGATCAAAAATCAGATACATGTTGTCATTCACTGTTCCGCAGGTATAACAAAATCTTTTGAAAATACATAAAAATACTAAAAAGGTAATTTAGGATAAAATACCTGAAAATTTATATCATAGTGAAGAAATCAAAACATTGATTTATTAATAATTTCACAAAATTTCTCTGTATCCTTTTAAGATAATGTTCATATTTCTTATCTATCCTACAATATTATCACGAAAATATTTTCCAGAAAAAAAATATTCAAAAATTTAAAAAAAAAAAAGAAAAGAATACGGTCAGATAGTATACTGGATAATCATACAATTACCGATTATTTCTAATTATTAGGTATTGGTCGAACAGGAACAGTTGTTGGTTTAGATATAGCAGATTCGATGTTCAACGATGGTATGAAAGTTACCATGCGTGATGTAGTTCGAGAACTTCGTCTTCAACGTCATGGCTCTGTACAAACTGACATTCAATACGTTTACATACATCGTTGCATTTTAGCACTTTCGGAAACTCGAAAAGTATGACTTTTTTTTCCCCTTACTTTCCATATCTCTCTCTCTCTCTCTCTCTCTCTCTATCTATCTGTCTACCTCTCTCTCTCACTCTCTCTTTTAAAAATTCAATAAAGATAAAATTTATGGTTATTATTAAATATCTCATTCCTCATTTTGGATGCAATCCTTTCTTATCATTTATTAACTGCCATTTCAAGCTCATTGCATTTTTTGCAATTATTGAAGAGTTAAATTTGTTTCAAAAATTTCAAAAATTTCATTTCTAAAGTTTAATGAGAAAACAATTAGGTTTCATTATGAAAAATTATGAATTATTTTTATTTGTGATAACAACGGTTACGATATAATAAATATAAAAGTTTATTTTCATCTTATAGTTTGTTCATTTGTTTTTTTTCTTTATTTTATATAATAATTCCCTGTTTAATCAATAATTACATCATTTAATTGTGGAAAAAATTAAACAAAATTAAATTGAATTTCAGCTCATCAAAAGAGATGAAATTGCGAGTTTCTTAAGAGATTTTGATATACTTGCACATGCTCGCGGTGGTTTACCACCTCCAACCAAATAGGTCACGTACGTGTACATGCGCATCATTATCATCATCATGAATATGACAAACGATAGTTGCTATCCGTGAAAAACAATTTTAGTACAATACGTTTCAACGTCATTCCATTATTATACTGCTAAACCAATGCAATCCAATTGTGTTAATCATAAAATAACGCTCCTTTCTTGCACAACTACATATATTATCTATATCAGTTCAAGTAATTAATACTTACGAAAATAAATGATAAATCATTGTTTCACTTTAGTCTCATCAATCAATAATATATCTCTAAGCATTATATACTTTTAATACAATAATATCATCAAGTATTCTCCCAATGATTCATTCTTTGCTTATTTCGAAAGTAATTCGATTAATTTATTGCTTTTTATCGGGTGAATTATCAAATATGATTATAAAAGGTGAAATATCACTATAAATCACATTTTGTTGGAATAAAATTTAAACCGGATAAATTAGAATAACATACACAATTTATAAATGGATTATTAGCATTTAGATTTGATAATTTTAATACTTCTCGCATTTGAATTGTCTTAAATTTATTTCAAAATTGATTTTAAATATTTGTCTAAAAATATCAACTGCTGAAAATGACAGTCTACCATGCTGGTATTCATTATCACTAATTAGATGATTAATTAGGTGTAAAAAGTATGGTAAACCGGAGGAAAATGCTATTATTTATAGTAAATGAAATTACTAGCGGTTGTTTTGTTTTATTTTTCTACGGTACTTATAAATGGTGTCCAATTTTCTCGTCAGTTTCATTTTTTTTTTTATTTGTTTCACCAATTTATTTGATAAAAAATATGTTGGATAAAGGCTGAAGAATACTAATTGGAATAAAATACAGTAACCAAAAGTAATTTCTCTATGATATATTTCAAACTTTCAAAACTTGGATAATTTCTAGGTTGTCTTAATAACGGTCGTGCTTTTTATCGTTATTCGATAGAACAGAAGCAAAAAGTTATTTGCTATTTCCATCAATTTCCCATAAAAGAAGTTAGTTTAATATGTGAATGCAACTATCAAATGAATAGAATTAGAGATCAAATTAGGCTAATTCTATTTGTATAATTTGATAAGAATCAATTGATAATGATTATTATCATAAATTATGATTGAAGTATTGAATTTTGGAAGGAAGAGATTGTTATTAATAAGATAAAGGTATCTTTTCTCATATGTTGACATTACATTTTACCGATATATGTTATATGACTGTTAAAAAATGAAATTAAAGATGATAAGTAATAATTGGATAGGAAAAATATTTATAATAAAATGATAAATTATTGATTACTTCCATAATTTTCTTCATTTCCTAAAATGATAATTAATTTTATGCATTATTTATAATAGGTAAGTCTTAATCTCAGCATTGAAAATGCCCTCCAACGTATCTTTCTAAAATATAAGCAAAATAATATAACGGAAGCAGTAGCAACAACATTGGAAGATTTGCGTAATTTTCATTATGCCGCATTACTCGGTAGGTAAATTTCCTTAATTCTAACTTTATTTTTGTCACTGTAATTATTGATTACTTGTTAATTTAAACTATAATTACCGTCTTACTCTTTGTTATCGTAATTTATTGTTGAGAGAATTAAAGTGATTTGTTTTTAAAGAGACAAATAAATGATTAAATCCATCATTTGGTTGGATAAATGAACCGATAACCAATTTAAACATAATTTTAAATCCTTTTATTATCAATTTTTTTTTTGTCATAACTTTTAAAATCAAAATAAAGACATTGAAAAATTTCATCGGAAAATTAATCCAAACAAAAATTGTTATTCATTGATTACTTGTTAATTGGAATTATTATTTTCATCCAATGAATTACGATAATAAAGGGTAAGATAGAACGGTTGATAAGGTGATGATCCGTAGAATTAGATTCATGTTAGCAGAATACAGAATTAATAATTACAGTTAGATACTGATATTGAAGAATGATGAAATGTTAACTTTTTGGGTAATTTAAAGTTAAACCTTAAAATTAGAAAAAATCGCTTCATACTTGTCGGAAGTCAGATGTTAACAGATAATTTAAACAACATTATTCAGTAAGTATTACAATCTTCCCGACAAATATCACTTACGCGAGCACGTAAAATGAACGTTTGCTTAGCAAATAATATTATATTAATTACAAAATTTCATTGTTATTTCATGCTAAAACATTTGTTGTTTTAAAATTTGAGAATTATTAAATTTGTGAAATTCAATTAATTTGTATTGCTGGTTCAGTCTGAATTTTGATGATTCAAATGCTAATTATTTCTAATTGTTGATTTTTGAATTCTAATCTTTTCTGTTTCACCAACTTTTTCTTTCAATCGAGAAATTAAATAACAATATATTGATGTTAATAATAACTTCGTTTGATTATGCTAGTGAAATTGAATTGCTTTATCTTGAAATGGATATTCTTAAATGATTTCAGAATATCCGGAATATGCAGAAGGTTTAATAGGTGCGTTATTCGGATTATTTTTTATACGACATCATGGTTACATCAATAATGATTCAATCGGAATGTATGGTGGTAAGATGGTATGGTATGATGGAACTCCAGCTATGACGGATTTTAGCTTATTTTACGATCATTCATTCAATCCACGTGTAAATAAGTCTAACTGCTATCGTTTTATGACATGGGCTATTGAAAACAATGATTGTAAGTGAAATTTCAAATTGAAATTCTATCATTCTAATAGAAGAGGAAGAAGTACAAATATGAATTTTCTTTAACTTTCGCTATCAGAAAATATCAGAAAAAAAGGCTCAATAAAGCTAATGAACATGAATTACTGAATAGAAAGTTTTTTTTTTCCCGAAAACTTACAAGAGATTATGGAATAATATTTTTATACTTCCAATAACATGACAATATTTAGAATATGTAATCGAAATCATTCATCATAATGATAAAGCAATATTCCTTTTCCTAATTTACTTTTTTTTTTTTTAAATGAATGGAATTTTTATGCAGTTGAATATTGCCATCTGTCCTTATTGAATTTGTCTAATTCTAAAATTACTTTATTATATGAAAGGATCAAAATCATCTATGAGGACTAAAATTAATAAATAATTTTTAGTTAAAATTGTGGCATTCGAATGCAATCAAAAAGTCACAATCTATCATTATTTGATTGGATTCAGCTATTTAATTGTAATCTTTTCAGCTTAAATTTTCAGAATTTTTAATTTTGAATTGAAATAAAATTCTCCACTTACATATAAAATTTCTCCCAGTTCTTTTTCTTTTGTTTTTTTTCGCATCAAACTTATCAGCACTTGTCAACAATTTTGAGGATTTACCAGAAAAAACTATAAAGCATGAATATGACTGGGACCCAAAAATAAAACTGGTAATGGATAAAGATCTAAGTGAGTTTGCTTAATCTTATCTGCTCAAGATTCATTCATCCTAATCAGTAATAACTAATTCGAGTGCTGCTAACCTGATTACTGAAGTATTAATAGTACAGAATCAATTTGCGCCGATTTCTTTTATAAATATTTTTCCTTCATACGTTTGATTCTTTCTGGATTATTTGATTCACTCTTTGTATTATCCTTAGCTTTCTCGAATATCTCGGTGTAAAACTGGTGTCTAAATTTATCAAATAATTTAGGCTACCCCAAAAGATGTGCACTTGGCGATCATGGATGGAAAGGAGATGATGATGAAGTTCATTGTTTTTCCATTGTGTACAAAATGTCGAACCATACGGTATTTGAAAATTTAAACAATATTAACTGAATAACTGAATTAAATTTGATATTGTAACTTATTTTTTGTACTACAAATGAAAACCTTGGGAATCTGATCATAATATGTTGCTAAAAGAGAAAGGAAAGAACTTATTTCTACAATATTTATCTTTTTAGGAACAACTCTATTCAATCGACGATTCAATATGTCGCATTCAGCGACAGCGGAAACGTATCGCAATGTATCCAGCGGTATTTCGGGGAAAAGATGAATATGAATTCATTGTGGGAAAACTCCAAGGTTAACATTTTATAATGTCAGTGCAAACTAGTAGATTCTATCATATTACAAAATTCCTAAACTTTTCAAACTTCTCTGCATATCTATAGATAGTGGCATTTGTTTATTTCCAGATGATCTTCAAATAGATCAGCCGATGTTTTATCGATATCATTTCGTTCTGTTTGGTTTATGGTATTTCCGTGGAGCTGGTTATCGCTGGAGTGATTTCTCGCAAAATTCCAATTTCGAATTTATCGATCCCAATTTCAATCCTCAATTAAACACATCACAATGCTATCGATTCTTAGCTGTTCCATGTTGACTAAAATTTATTTTCAACTGAAATTAGCAGATCCTGTTTTATGCAAAATTTCTAAACTTCTGAACTTTTCGGCGTAGTCATATTTTACCCCTTGTAATTTCGAAAATCTATTTTCTACATCCCAACCTTCCAATCACTTTTTTTTTGAAAACCAAATCAATACAAAGTGAGAGAAGTTCTCGATTCCTCCCTCGAAGAACTCAAAATTAACCAATTATTTTCAAAAGAATGAAAATTTCCAGTTGGCGTAAAATATGCAGTACCGGTGGAATGCTTCAAGCAGCTTAATATTCTTTCAGCTCTATGCATGTACAAATCGGTAAGGTTACAGTAACAGCAAATAACTTACAACTCGCTGTATTTTAATAAAATACGAAGTGAAATTTTCAAGTGAATAACTGCTTAACTGATTAATGGAAAGAATAGTTCACGTAACATGTCTAATTTTCCGGTATTAAAGTACTATAATGAATGTCAAAATGACTAATATGCCTACTATCACTATTATTAATTATACCTGCATATTTCAGGATCAGTATCATCCTGAACCTCGTTTACCTAAGATAATCTTTGATGATGAAGGTGACACTCCCTCATATACCGTCATTATCAATTTTTTTAAAAAAAAAAACTTTCCCAACATTGCATTTATTATTTTCGCCGTTTAATAAATTTGTCCTTTTCTTTTTACTCAGTTTCTAATCAAACAGAATTTCGAATTTGCTATCTTTTTCCACACTTTTCCAGATAATGGATTTATTGTTGAGTTCATGAATTCGAGTCTGTTGGCAGAATCACTTGGTAAAGGAAAAGGTGTCTGACTACCTTCTCCAAAATAATTGCTATTATTTCATGTCTAATTTAGAATTTATACGTAAAACCTGCTATACTGAGTCTAATTTGTATCCAAATCTGTCGTGTCTATGCTCAATACTTAGTCTATACACAATTCATGACCACGGTTCATACCCATAATTAATCCAGGTTTTGCAGTCCCCGAGCACCTGTTTTTCGGTATTAGGTGGTAAAAAACTATCCATTTCCAGAGAATCAAAAACGATGGAGAAGTATGGTACCAATCTTACTATTTATCACGTGTTTCCTTCCCTGGATTCAGCATGTTATTCCTTCTTCAACATATGCTTTCGGTACATAAACAGTACGATGAAATATGGGAAGGAAAGAAAGAAGCAACAATTAATAGAAAATATACTTCCTATACAGAATATGAAAGCAACTATTTTTGTACTCATTCCTCCTATATTTATGCTTATTCCAAAAAGTAATTATGGCGTAATTTTGGAATAAAATTAGATTATGGGCTGTTCATTATCGTATTCTATTCAATCCCCAACATTACTCATGACCACTCGATGTCATTATGATGCCCAAAATATTTCCCACATGCTGTACCTTTTAAGTTTTCGCCACGCAACCGCAATTCCACATATGCGCTCAACTAACATATAAGCGATATATTTTCGAAAATGAATCATTTTACGTGTCTCCCTATCATTTCACAAATGCATTTGGTGCCGTGTTAAACAATATAATTAGCAAACCATTCTTTCAGATTTCAGTAAAGCACTTTCGTTCAGCTAGCGTGGAAGAGTCGTTAATTGGGCAATCCGTACATTCGGGTTCCTGTCACATAACACGTGACTTCTGTCTACTGGATAAACTGTGTCATCCGTTGCAATCACTATCTACACGGAGTAACGCGACGTACACGTCAGCAAACCCCGGTCTTCACCGATTCAAAATTCTGCACACCGTATGCTTAAAGAAAGTAACGAAAAATAGAGCGCTGCAACGGTGAAAAGTTCGCCTATCAGCCATAATTTTCGGTGAATGTGTTGCGTTCAGCGGGCGTAGCGTTCGATTGTAACCGTTGGTCAGACGGTCAGTACTTTCAGGTTTGGTTTGGTTTGAGATAACCTTAGAGGTGGCGTTGATGCATCTGACACTCGAAAATGAAAATTCAGGGAGGATTGCGTATGCAATTGAAAAATACCTTTCTAGAATCAGAAACCAAAAATTATCTTGTGATTCTTTCATCCTGACGTGATTTCCCACAGTACTACTTTAAAACAGCAGCTATATCGAATGTTCATCACACGATATCAAGTGATCGATTAACTATATTCATCAGTTTTTTCAGAACATATGTCAACACCAGTTGTCGACCTTTCGGGGAAAGTCGCTCTTATCACGGGTAAGTTACCGTGAGAAGTAAATTGGAAAAATCAGAGTATAGCTTACTTTCTAAATCCAACTACTGTCTTAGTTAATCATGGAATCAAAGTCCACTGCCAACCAGTTATGATCGAATCTGTTATTATGACTGAAAAACACGGTAAAACATGAAGCGGAAGGGTAATGAGACTGAATGTTAGGGGGAAGAAAGTGGACTGAATTTTATCGACTGTTGAGTTTAAAGTTCGTGAAATTATTATTATTATTGTTTTTTTGGATCGCGACTTTTTTGATCAAAGTTCGTTCCTTGGGGTTCGGCACACGGTGGATATGAAGTCTTATGTAATGGACGTATGACTGTACCCCACATTGTTGCGTGTTGAAAATGAGTTCAGGATAATTTATAATATTATCTTACATTAGTTATTTTCAGATGTTAAAGGTATATCATATGTTGAGCAACATTTTTAACTGCTTATTGTTCGTTTCATAATTAACTTGTCATTTAAATTAATTAAGACAGCAAGTGATGTCGCAAATATTTCTAAGCAGTAGTAATTAATGTTATCGGTACTGTTGGTTGATGAAAAGTAATTTTGGAAGTACTTTTAAATAATCAAAAGTAGTGTTATAAATATCACCAGATAACGCCATGGTTATGGCCATGACTAGATATCAGTAGTTTGGATCGAAGACGAAAGGAATATGAAGCCAGGAAGTTAGCAGAGATTTCTGTATATGCTTTTTGGTGTGAAAGAAATGGATTAAAGTTTTCGCTGCAAAATTAAATCCATTTCGTGAAGCATATGTTATGGACAATTTTTATTTGAAATTCCACTGTAATATTGAAGAGAATGTAGCAAGCGCAAAGTATTGCTGCATTTCTTGCTGTCAGCACCGTTTTAATTTTGCCCAGTCCCACCACTTCTATTCGTTCATTTTTTTCTTTTTTGGACTTCAGGACCTTTGAATTAATTAATTGATTTTACGCAAATTAAGGAGCTACATCAGGTATTGGATATTCGACAGCACATCTTTTTCATCAGCTTGGCGCTACACTTGTTATAACCGGAAGAAATACTGAGCGATTGAAAACGCTTGAAGAACAGTTACAAAATGGAAAGGTTATTTATTGTTAGCTTTACTAAGAATGCTAAGAATTATCACGAATTATAACAACCGTCCGCATCATAAAATAAGTGTTAAATGTACGGATCACATCGGTAAAGTAGAAAAAAAAAGAAAAAAAGGAAAAAACGATGATTGGATTCATTAATTTGCATAATTAACTAATTAAAATAAGCCATTGTATGGAGAAGTAAAAAGATCCATAAAATTGAAAAAAGAAGTAAAAACGAGAAGTAATAATGTAATGAGTAAAGTGGAACAGTGCTGTAAGTTCTATTTAAATGTTCTCGGGAATCATGTAGTTAGTGATGCCTACTCAGCTGCAACGTAAATGGTTTGTGTATCGTAAACGTTTTTTAAATTACGTAAGCGACACGGTGTATTCCGTTTAATCCACTCGCTGCAGAAATCTCACGATCTTAAATTTTCAACCTTGCTTTTGTATCCCTACCCTAAAGTTCTTGAGAATATTATTAATTACTAGCTTTTCCTGACCCTTCTTTCTTTTACTGTGAATAATGAAATTTCATCCATTTATATTGAATAAAAGACTGCACTAGGATAAGCCAGCAAGAGCACTGATTGAAATATTATTGTGAGAATTAATTGCTCAGTTCTAGGGTCAAGTTCTGGCTATCGCTGCAGATCTTACGAAGGAAGAAGAAATCCGAGGCCTCGCCAAAACGGCCATCAACAATTTTCATACCCTGGATATTTTGGTAATAATCTACCTTGATCAGTTACGTTAAAAAGAAAAATTTCAACTTATTTGGTTGGGTAATTTTAGGTCAGTAAAACTTTATAAAATGGTAAAACTTTATAAAAATAAAAAAAGTGAAATTATTACAGATAGAACTATTAACTATTATAATTAAGTTGATATGATATTCTTAGGATAGACAACATATGCTAAACAAAGTACATGAGTGGATTTGTGGATCATGGTTGGTATACCGTTTTCTTCTCCCTTAACAACAATCGTTTTCCATTTGTCGTTTTCTCACTTGATTAAGAAATCATTTTTCACTTGATTAGACCGTCAAATTGAGACTTCAGGTGAGTGGAGAGAGGCCTTTTTGTCTGCTACATTAGAGATGTGCGAGACAGGGAATGTTATTTCAGATTCGACTTATAACTTAAAATTAATCACAGAGACTAACGTTTTACTTCCTGCTTAAAATCTCTAATTTTCAGCATTTGAAGAGAAATATTAATTTGGGGAATTTGAAGTTTTG